GGGGGGGGGGGGGGGGGGGGTGTGCGCGCGCGCACGTACGTACGTACGTACTCCAGATATCCCCAACAAAGAATTTGCATAACCTGGTGTTCTTGTCATGAGTTCTGGGATCCTTCAAAAATTTATACGTAGGAGAGGCACAGGCCCCCTCATCTAGCTCCACCTCATGGAGGTTGGGGCCACACTAATCATATGCAATAAGCTGAGAGAGGGGGTGACAGGGATTCTGGGTGAACTATTTAGGAAAGTTAAAATGTATTCTCTGTAGTAGCTCACCATGATGTGAAAAAGAATCAGTGCTGAGGGGGACTATGTTGAATTGGCATTATCTTATCTTATTCACATGGGCTACACTAACCTGTCCTTGTGGTAGGTCCCCATCAGTGTCTCAAATATTACATTCAAAGGACTGATGAGGAGGAAGATGAGAGTAAGAGGAAGGAGATGTGGTGGAATGATAAATGGAAATATGTATTCACTTGAGGAGTACCTGATATGGTGGCATGAGAGAGAGGGGAAGGTAGGAATGGGAATAGTTGTGGGATGAGATAATGTTGTTATTGTAAACTGCTAATAGGCAAGGAGGAGTTAATGTTATGAGGCTTTGTTGGATAATTTAATGTTTCATATCTGTAAATATGTATTAAGAGGTTTTGGTTTTTTTAATAACATGTTGAGTTTAAAAAACAAAAAGCTTCCCATCGGTATGCTTTCTTGCTTGCCCAACATAGACCATGTGTTTTACAGTCCAGGCTTAGTGTTGGCTGCATTTAATCAACTTCATAGTTGGTTTTCATAACTAAGCGCATGTTTTCTTTTTTTGGCAGAAGTTTAATGGTAGTTTTTAACTTCCTCGCTGTCCGCCCAGCATGTTGACCAACTCCTGCTGGGGGAGCAGGTGGAAAGCAGAGCTGTCTAGCAGCAGTGGCAACAGCTGGTGACAAAAGAGGCAGAAGAGTCTCACTGGCTCAGCCTGTGGTGCTGCACAGAACAGGGGTGCGGTAGGGGCTGCAAAGCCCCTCTGGCAAGCAGCTGCTGGGCTCCAGGCCTGCCAGTGCCTCCAAGCCAGCCCAAGCAGCCCACTGCTTGGCCAGCCACCACCTGCGCCCCAAAACCAGGGGCCCAGCCCCTGCAGCCCAGTCTGGGCCTGCCCCTGTGTGTCCACCCTGAGCAGCACCTGCGGGCTGGGCCCAGCTCAGCCCCGCAGTCCCAGCCCCAGGCAGATGGCAGGGAGGAAAGCCAGGCAGACCCCAGGTGGGGTCCCCGTGTCCAAGGGGGGAGACGGGAGTTTAATCCCCCTATACCCCCTTTTGGCAGTGGGGAACAAGCCTAGCAAGGCTCCCCCCCAGGCATAGGTTGGCTGGGGTCCCTGCAGGCCAGGGTAGGGGTTTAAATCCCTCCACAGTCAAACTTAGCAGCCTGCTAGGAGGCCTTGCAGCTGCTAAGCAAGAGAAGGGAGGGTTCGCTCTAGCGCCCCCCAGCTTCTAGCCTGAGCCACTGCAGGCATGTGCCTGCATTTCTGGAATTAAAAATGAATGTTTGTTCACTTGCAAATCAGTTTAATCTATGCAGGTTAGACGAATCTGCAAATATTGAATCAATTCAGGCTCAGGTTTTTTGAGTGTCTGTCCCTAGCTCTCCATCTGGTACTGTTAACAAGGATGTCATCTCTGGAGACACAAATCTAGAGTCTGAGAACTGAAACTAGTTACCACAGAGATGCCTAATGAGATCATCTAGACTGAGCCGTAAGTCCCATTGAGTAGAGTGGTTTTCTTTACTAATCTATAGAGGAGCCTCTTGGAACCCCATAAGATTGGGCCCTCAATATAGTCCATGGCCTGTTGTGACCTGTTTATAAAACTTTTCTAAAAAGGTGACATGAATAGATTGTCTCAAATAGTATATAATTAGAAGTTATCATTCCTATTCCATGATGATATCTTTGAGCTTTAACTTACCTTAATTTAAAACTACCTTTATATAGGTGTATTTCGTTAAAAAAAGCATCTTAAAAAAATCAAAAAATATGATTAAATAAAAAAAAGATTCAATTTTAAAAAAATCTGATTTTATTTTCATTTTTTTAAATTGTTGATTTTTATCCACCCTGTTGCTCATTGATTAATACCAGTTCTGTGTCTGTTATAAATTGCCTTTCTCCAGAAACTTGCACTATAATTAAATCTTTCCCTATGCAAAATAAGCCATGTTGAAGTTAAAGAATGGCTCACTTAATCAGTTTGTTTGAACTGCAGGTATGGGGGAATTGAAGACTTTAGCCACAGAAAGGTGCGGTACCTGGAAAAAAATGCAAAACTCAAATCCAAGTTCTTGGACATGCGCAAACCCGTCAGGAGCAAGAACTCGCACATCTTCTTTACCCAGGAATCTGAAATGTTGCCTTACCAAAAAAATAAAACATTGAAGAAGGTATAAATGTTACGTATTTAATTATTAGCATCAATATGTCAAATTAATCTCATTTCCATAGATATATTTGTTCTGGCATTGTTGAACTATAAAACCAAAAACTTTCTGGCCAGAATAGATCATATGAACTCATGTGGCTAAGTGTCAGTCTCTCGCTAAAGTAGGGGTGGGCAGTATATGGCTGTGGGCTGGCTTGGGCCTGCCAACTGACTGGAGCCAGCCCACAGCTGACCCTGTGGCCCTTTGCATGGGGCCAAGCCCCACCTGCTCCTGCTGGAGCAGCCCACGCCGCACTTCCACCTGCACCTGCCAGTCCAAGCCCCAATCAGCTCACGCAGCTTCTGTCGGGGCTGTTCCCAATACTGCTCTATTCCCCTTTTCTCCAGCATGAGTCAGCCAACGGAAGCTTGCCCACCTGCCCAGAGCGGTGCAGCAGGGGTGGGAGGAGGAGACACTGCTGGAGGTGAGCGGAGTAGACCAACACATGGCCAGCTGTAGCCACACTGGGAACAGCCCCACCAGAAGATCCACGTGCTCGTCAGGGCCTGGGCCAGTGCAGCAGTTCTGCTCCCCTCGCCTCCAGCTACGGCCCCTGCTCTTGCCCCTGTGGGGCTGTTCTGCTCCAAGCTGGGGGAGCTTCAGTCCCTAGCGTGCAGGGCTTCAGCTCCAACTCCAGCTCCAGCTCCCACTCCCAACTGCCTTCCACCCACTCTGCTCATCCAGCATGATTAGCAGCCACTAGTGGGTGGGCAGAGCAGGTGGAAGGCAACTGGGAGCTGGAGCCAGAGCCCCACGCATTGAGGCAGGAGCCATCTGGCTGAAGCTTCCCCCTCGCTGGAGCAATGCGGCAGGGACAGGAGGAGGAGCCACAGCTGGAAGTGAGTGGAGCAGAACACTGCTGCCGACCTGGGCCCTAGCAAGCATGCACAGCTTCCAACAGGGCTATTTCCAGTGTGGCTGCAGCCAGCTGGGTACTACTCTGCTCCCCTCGCCTCCAGCAGTGGCTCCTCCCACTCCTGCCCCTGCTGTGCCACTCTGGGTGGGCAGGCTAGGGGGGGAAGTTTCAGCTGGGCAGCTCCCACTAGAGGCAAGGGGGAGCACTGCAGCTGCACCAGGAACTGCCCTGCCAGCAGCTGTGCGCAACAGAGCTTGCTCGGTCCACAGCTGCTCCCATGGCTTGGCCCCACACGGAGCACTGTGAGGGCAGCTGTGGGCCAAGTGAACTTTGCTGCATGTCTCCCTGCCTCATCATCCCTTCCCTCCCACTCCTTACACATCTCCATAAATCCCGCCCCCCGCCACCACCATAACCACTGCAGGGCTAGGTATGCAGGGAGCAGATCACAGCCATTCCACTCCTGAATACTGCTCCCTCCCCACCCAAAACCCCATAAGTGGTTTTGGTGAGTTGTTGCCTTGGGAGGAGGGAAGGGATGCTGACCTGGCCTGCAACTGCTCATCAGAACTCCCTTTGTGGCCCTCAGGCCCAAATAATTGTCAACCCCTGCTCTAAAGCTTAATTAAGAGTACTTTTCTTAAGAAGGTTGTTAAAGACAGCACTACAATCTTCAGCATTCTGTTTCTTTACTTTTTTTATTAAAATCACCTGTTTAACACTAATTTCCATAAAAGGCATTACATCTCTAGGTTCCTCACTTGTTCAGTAGTGTACATCACTGCCCTGTGCAAATCCAGGGGCACACGCCCCATCCATGCCCTCCCAAATGAGTGGCGGGAGCAGTGGCATGAGCTGCCAGATGAGTGGGTAAGTGCTGGACCAGCAGCTCCTGGATGAGTGGCACACAGTGGTGGGAGCCGCACCCCCTAGACAAGCCACAGCTTCACCCTGCGCCCAGCCCGCCCTGGCTGGGTAGCACCTGCCTGCCCCAGTCCCACTTCTCCCTCACTGTGGGGGCCCGCACACCCCTTCTTTTCCCCCTCCCCTTCTACCACAACAGACTTATCAGCTGCGCACAGCTCTCTAAGGTGCCTAGCTGGTATTGTAAATCGAATCAGTATCAGCCGATATGCCTCCTTAAAAATTGAATATTGGTATCGGCCCCAAAAATCTCTATCGGTGCACCCCTAATGGTGTATTGTTTTGATAATTTCAGTGTTTTTCATGTGTATTTATCCTTGAGTTATTTACACGTACTACACACTATGACTCTGCCCTAACAATAGGGAGAAAAGAACTTGTTTACAAGTGATTTTTTTTTTCTTAGTTGAATCTGTCCTTTTAAAATCTGGTGCCTCACTTTCAGCTAGAGCTGGGAAGTACTTCCAGCTTGCCAGTTGCAAAATAGTGTTTTCTAGCATCAACAGGCTTTGTGGTATTTTGAACCTTAATGCTGTCACTGATTCTGAGCTTGTACATGGTCCATCCTACACCCGAGGTCAGTTTAATTCAGAAGTGACTACTATTTTGGGGAATTAAGAAAGAAATGTGGTGATTATTTGAAAATGCCTGTACACTTCCTGAGGCTTTCTAGGAGAGAGCTTTTTCTTGCTGACCTACTCCTAATCCCACAACAGCAGTTATAGTAGTATTCACAGAAGCATGCACCGTAACCCTTTGAAGAATCAGGGAGCTATTGTTGACTTTGGTTAAAAACAGCAAAATACTCTATCCAAAGTTCCACACTGAAGATTTTTTTTTTCTTTTCTAAGCATGTGCCTCAGGTACATTCCAGGAACTTAACATATAATACTAATCTACCTACATTCTTTAGGTGCAGATCGGAAAATGAAGCAGCTAATTAAAAAGTACCTATGTATGTGAACACATTTTACATAGAAAGAAATATAATGAATTACACAAGTTTGCCTTAAATGTGCTACTCACGCATGTCTTTTGTACATGTAGACTGTGTTTCAAGTTGTTAAGAAATCTGTGCCATCGTATTACATATCAAAGAGGCAGTTAACTGTATTAGTCTAAAGGTAGGTTTGAGGGTGTGGCATAGTGGTACATTTAAAGACTAGCTGGTTCACAGAGCCATGCCTCTGACTAAGTAAGTTGCTGCCTACAAACTCATGCCTCTCTGAACCAGTTAGTTTCCTAAGGCAGGGCTGTCCACCTGGTGGCCTACAGGATGTGACCCATGAGTGGTTAATATGTGGCCCTTGGACTCCCCCTTGCTGCCACTTCTCCCCTCATCACTTCAGGTGCTGCAGGAGCCAGGGGGGCTCCCCCTATGCAGAGAATTGTGCAAGGTGGTACAACACAGCCTTCAGTGCCTGGGGAGCCCATAGGTATAGAAGTGAGAGGTGCCATGGTGGCAGGACCCTCTTGCGCGTGAATGGTGCCATGGTGGGGGGACCCACCTGCACGGTGAGGGAAGACTGTGGTCTCCTGCTGGCATGACTCTCATGATGTGCCATCCCCTGCAGTGTGGCCCCAATCCACAGAAGTTGGACAGGCCTGCTTTTGCAGCCTTTTCCAAACAGCATTTATCAAAATAATCCATGCTCAGTAAGGTTGCACATGCGCTTGTGAGGGCTTTGTCTGTGACCAAATTAATAGTCTCGGGGAGATTTTTTGGTGTTGTTTGTTGCACAGTGTAGTATGTTTATGTAGCCTTTTGGTAGATCAATGATGGATGCATTGCAGCTTTGTTGTTTGCACCATCCTAAAGTACAAAAATACAATCTAATTATTTATGGTATTTGACAATTCCAGGTAGAGAAGTTCCTAAAGCAGGCTAGTGAACCTGTGGAGGAGATGACATCTCAGGCATCCTTTCCTCAGGATAAATTGCAGGGATTCTCTACAAGCAGTGACTCAGAGGGACAGGAAAGTATTACCTCACAAAAATATCATCTGAATGCTAAAGAGTGTGACCTGCTATCTTCCAGCATTGTTAGTTTTGAACCTGAGGCAAACAGTCTTGAAGAGGAAAGGGAAGAAGCATCAGCAAATATCTCTAATTCTCAGAGCTTGGGAAAACAGGAATGCAATTCTGGAAGACAGATAGTTGCTCTGGATATTCCAGACTATCTTCGGGTAGAAACAGAAGAGGTGAACCAAGGTGCATACAATTCTTAATTGCTGGAAACAAGCTGATGATAACACTGCCTTGTAAAGTTTGCTATTTTGTAGTTATTTAATAGAGCTTAATATTTATGTGGTCTTCAGTCAGAATCCCATGAATAGAGACCTAGTTGCTGCTAATGGAGGTAAAGGTGGCTTTGGCCCATTCTTCATAAATTCTGACCCTTGTTTCTTTGTACTAAGTAGCAATTTGTCTATTTTAGATACTCCCAAGAAACACCCTCCTTTCAACTGTATTATTTCTGTAGTGAAGGGAGGCTCTAGTAGCAACTGATTCAATTCAAACGGATGTTTGGACTGTCAGAAGTTTGGTCCTTGGATATTTGTTTTTGTCAATGGTTTGAATTTCAAGGAACATAAAATGTGTTAAAAGTAAAATTACTTAATATGCTAGAGGGGAAGCTCTTGTATACATGTCTCATAAATCTCATGTGATATATAAAACACATGCATACACACACTTGTGTGTGTGTATGCATATAGTAGTTAAGCTTTTTTATTTAATATTTGCTGTACTCCAAAGGGAGATCATTATTGAGGCTTTCCTATGCAACACATTATATAATTCACGGTAGTTTAACTTATTTTAATATAAGATTTGTGTTGCAAAGTTTATTCCGTGTAGTTATGAGGGGTGCCTTGAGTCTAAAGAGGTTAGAACTGCTGGCTTAAACATTGAGATTTGAATGTGATATGAACAACATGAGATACTGAGCTGGGGCTCAACACAGATCTCTGCATTCCAGGCTCATTTTTGGAGAGGGAACAGTGAATTGAAGTAGACCCAGGTAGTCTCCAGAACCACTGTAGTTGCACACACTTAAATCACTCGTCTGTATAATTCTAGGATTCTCCTCTCTAATCTTTTTAAAATTATCTACTTGTGAAGCCCTGGTAATAGCCCCATGTTGGAAATCAACACTGTTGCCTAGTTGCAGCATTTTTGATTTTCAGCCTATCTCTTGCAGCACCAGCCCTTGAGAACCAAGCATCTCGGTAATGTTACTAATGTTGTGACACCATTCTTTTCAGCTGCAACTGAAACAAATACCAAAAAGAAGAAAAATAAGAGAAAGAACAGAATTGGACCACTGTCTTTACCTACTGAGATTGCTGCTGATCCTGAGCTGGCAAAATACTGGGCCCAGCGCTACAGACTGTTCTCTCGGTTTGATGACGGGATTAAATTAGACAGAGGTATGTCATTAGCTGGAATGTGCACTTTTAACTCTATAATAAGATTATTCAAATATACATTCTTCCCAGCTCTGACTGGCTGGGAAACAACTGATGTAAATAATAGTTTACCTTATAAATTGTTGCTCATGAGAATTAATTCTTATGAATCAGCAACATAGAGGTGCAGCCAGCTGGCCAGGACATATGGGATGCAGGAATTCCCAGTTGCCACCACAATCCTGATTGTGATGACATGGCTACTGACAGCAGCTGCTTTTTTTTCTTTTCACTCCACCCTAGTTATGCCACTGCCATGAATGAGTGAATTGGGTGCAATTCAGCATAGCTCTTACGGCATTTATACATGTGTTGAGGGGAGAGGGGGTGGCAGGTGCTTTAGAACAGCTTCAAGAGCCACTCTAATTAAAGCTCCTGCAGTGTGTCTCGTGTATCAGCGTCCCCATGCTGAAAAAATGAGCTTTAGTTAAAGCGTCCCTGCCGATTATTTTCTTCATACACAAGATATTGGAGTCTGCTGGAGCATGGTAATTACCATGTTCCAGCAGATTCAATTAAGTCTTCTCTGATGCGCTGTAATTACAGCGTGTTGGAGCAGCCTTGTTGCATGTGTATTGGCACCCTCTGATTTTAATAGAATTAAACTGAACTTTGACGCCTGAAACCCTGCCCCATTGAAGAGAGAGGCATGATCATTTCAGAAAATTGTGCTGCCTAACAATAGACTGCATTCTACCGGTCCATGTTTTTTAGAAATTTCATCTCCAAGAGATGAAATCTAATTGCTGAAAATATAAATACATTTAAAAAGGAAGGAAAAAAAGGAAAAATTAGGTACGTTGTATTTTGAAATCTGTTGAGTAGTATCTGAAGAAGACATTTTAAATGATGTTTCAAATTGTTTAAATCTCATCAATTGCTAAATTACACTTTGTACAGCTTTACAGTGGTTTCCCACATGAAGAGATCAGACTTTTATAGAAAACTAACTGTACTGGGACTCCTTTTGTTGCTGTTCTGTTTTTTTCCCCCAAGCTTTTCATTTTGAGCACTTCTCATGTCAGCATAGGAAATATGGGGTTAAAGCCACTTCATTACAAAGACCACGTGTTCGTCAAGTCTGTCTAATTATTTTTGGTTCATCTAAATTTAAGGTTCTAGATCTTTTCTGTATTTGCTTGCAACTGACATACAAGTCATTTTCTCTTCATTGAGGTCTTTATTGGCCATCATCTGGCATAGGTACAAAGCGCTGTAGCACAGTTTAACGAAGAATGTGATTCGCTGTAAACTTATTGACTTCAGTGAAACCACTTCCAGGCTCAAAGGAATTATTGTATTGACCCAGAGTTCAGCACCTTGCAGGATCAAACTCATCTTGCCGTAGTAAAATGTATTGATTTGCTGTCTTCAATATTTGAACTCAATTTAGTTCTTTCAAATAACTGAATTTGGAAACAAGTGACAGAAAGAAATGCTTTTTCTCCCCCAGAGGGTTGGTTCTCTGTTACACCTGAGAAGATAGCAGAGCATATTGCACATCGAGTCCAACAGTCATTCAGCTGTGACATTATAGTGGATGCATTTTGTGGAGTTGGAGGAAATGCTATTCAGTTTGCCTTGGCATCAAAAAGAGGTAATCAGCTGTTTTGTTTATATGAAGCTTTGCCTTTCCCCTATATGAGAGTTTGATGTTTTCTTTACTGATTAATTTTACCTTGTTTTTGTTCTACTGAAGTAAACATTACTAATATACTTGCTCCAGTGTCAGAATAATGGCAGCCAATATCTCTGCATTTTTAGAAAGAATACATTATTTTAATTAGTTTGTTTTAACCAAAGTGTGTTACTTGCTGCAGTAGTCAATTGTTTTTTCACATCTTAATGAAATAATTAGAGCAGGGGTGGTTAACTGATGGCCCGCAGGCCAGATCTAGCCTGCAGCACATGGTCATCTGGCCTATGGGACTGTCCATAGATCTGGAAATGTGGTGGTGCTCCCCTGCTGCCAGATCTCCAGACTCGTGGAGAGCCCTTGGCCCTGAACGCTGGATCTTGTGCCCAATCTCAGCACCCAGGGCCACACGGGGGCAGTGTCAGGCCCTTGGGACCCAATCCCATCATCCAGAGGGCAGGAGGGGATGGTGCCAGACCCCAGGGCCTAATCTAGCCCATAGTGGGGCCCTGTGCCATTCATGTGGCCTCTGGAGCCAAAAGGCTGAGCACTACTGAACTAGAGCAATAGTGCATCAAAGCAGCAGGAGCAAGCTGATGTCCACAATGTTAATCTATTTGTAAGTATATTGCATATGAAGTAGAAGTACATATGCTGTCAATACTTGCACTACAATACGTATTAAGGCAATGGAGCCAGCTGTGGCAAACTCATGTGAAATTACATTTAGGGTATGTTTGCTTGGTGAAAAGTAGAATTTCAATAAATCAGTTAAAATCAAGTATAAACAGACATTGATATTCTTTTAAATTAAATTTCTCACTGAAAATTTACTTGTACAAGTTGCTTTCATCTGCTGCTGCTGCTGCTATTACCCTAAGTAAGGCAGATAATGCTGTATCCTTCACAGAGTTTGTCAGGCTGTGTTCAGTTTTGTAAATACCGTATTTACTTCAATCCAAGATCATAGAATCATAGAAAATGAGGGTTGGGAGGGACCTCAGGAGGTTATCTCGTCCACCCCCTGTTCAAAGCAACATTATCCCCAACTATATCATTCCAGCCAAAGCTTTGTCTTCCTGGGTCTTAAAAACCTCTAAGGATGGAGATTCCATGACTTCTCTGGGTAATCTGTTCCAGTGCTTTACTACCCTCCTAGTAAGAGAGTTTTTCCTACTATCCAACCTAAACTTCCCTTGCTGCAACTTGAGACCAATCCTTGTTCTGTCATCCGCAACCACAAAAAGCACTCTGGCTGGGTCCTGTATCCAGAACCTGGGCTGGAGCTGCTGCCAGCACCACCACTGTAACTGGGCCAGGTTGGGGCCAAAGCAACCACATGCTTCATGCCCTGGGCTAAAGTAGGGCTGGAGCTGGAGGGTAAGCAGTGCAGGCACAGACTGTGGTGGAGCAGGGAACAAAGGGGCAGAGTCAGCTGGGAGTGGGCAGGTGCTTCTGGGGTTACAGGCATGGGGGCAAGTATCAGGGCCCTGGGTGCCTAGGGAGCAGGCACAGGTGGTGGCAGACAGTTGGGAGGGCAAGAAGGGGAGAGAAAGGGGCTGGGGTCTGGCTGCTTGACTCCTTCCCCCCACCTGTTCCCCTGCTACTGCTCTCCCTGCTGTGGGGGGGCGTGGCTGTGAATTTTAAGATGACCCTCCACTATACATTGGAAAATTATAACTTACTTATACATTTTCCTTATATAGAATCTAATTCTTGGAGGGTCATCTTGGATTCAAGTACCTATGGTACTTTTCCGACTAACCTTAGTCACTTTTTTGCCAGTTGTGACAGAGGCTGTGGACAGGTGCTGCATCCGAAGCGCTCCAAATTCCACTCCAGTTTGAAGTGTTTCCATGCCATACTCCTGTATAGCCAACCCCCATGCCTCTCCTGCCTCCCTTGGTGGGACACTTACAAATTGTGTCATTTCATGCAGTGGCCATGCTCTCTAGCCAAGGGGAGCAATAAGGGGAATTTGGAATCTCTGTTCCTGCAGTCCAGAGAAAAGTTGCCCTTTGAGGAAATCCAGTTTCCTGCACTTAAGCACAAGTTTGAAATAATCTTAGCTATTACTATATGACACAATATATTTGTAGAAGTCTCTATTAGGATCACAAATAACAGGGTTATAAATCTGATATGTACCAAAGAGCTGTGATTGAGAACCTTGATCATAAGAAGATTTTGTTTTGGCAAGCAATATAGATATCTACTTTTTTAAGAAATATGTTCCAACAGGTGTGTGTTTTGATGAATGTTAATTGCATTTGTTTCCTTTCACCTTATTTTCAGTGATTGCCATTGATATTGACCCTGTTAAGATCAGCCTTGCCTGCAACAATGCTGAAGTATATGGAGTGGCAGATCGGATAGAGTTCATATGTGGAGACTTCATGATCCTGGTTTCTAATTTAAAAGCAGATGTTGTGTTTCTCAGCCCTCCTTGGGGAGGCCCAGACTATGCCACTGCAGAAATCTTTGACATTAGGACAATGATTTGTCCTGATGGATATCCTTTCAAAGTTGCATTGTCATAGCCATGACTCAGACATTTATAATAGTTACCTTTTTCTTGCAGGATGTCTTGATTTGTTTCACATTCTGTCATATTATGTTTTATATTATAGAGGCCTGTTAACTTTGTTATGAATTGCAGATGAACAGCACTTCTGAAAATCAGGGTATATCTATGTGAAGTAGAAACCCCAAGACCTGAGGCGTTCAACATTAGTGGCATACATATACCTTCGATCTAAGTGATTTGCCGATTATCCCACAGAGACTAGTGGTAGAAATTGGGCTTAGAATTCATGACTGCTTTAATTGCAAGACCTGCACTCAATTTGTTAGACTCTGTGCCACCTAAAGTTATCAAATAATTCTGTTGATCACTTCCAGATTCTTCTTCTCTCATTAAGAAATATTGTCAAATATACTTGTATTAAAGCTGGATCTTCTTCCATAAGATTATTTGTATTGTACCCACTATTGCTTTTTTGAAGTCTTAGTCCTGTGCAACATATTGATTAACTACAAACCAATTAATTTTTAAGATAGCAGAAGATTTGCACAAATGGAAGGTTACAAAACAGCTGTTCTTTTTTTTTATAGGGAATGTGGCCGTATGAGTTTAAAGCAGAAGTGTCAAATATACAGTGGGTCATCCAGCCAGTTGCTTACCCCTCTCCACCCTTGCTTCCCCCTTGCCTGCTGCAGAAAATCAGAGTTTTTAGTTGCTCCTGGTGACTAAAATAGCAAGGGGAAGGGTTGGGGACGGTTGAGTGGCTGGGGGGGCATTCATTCCCTGGGTTCAGAAACTGTGCTAAAACAGCAGCTCTGGCAACCTATAGGGATTAATGCTGCCACTGTTGCTCATGAAGCATCTAGCCTACAGGAAGCCTCATGGTTCAGATTCAGCCTGCAAGGCCAAACAAGTTTGATACCCCAGAGCTAGGGATGGATAAGCACAGGGGAAAGGCAAATGAAAAGGCCTAAGCAACAACAACTTTATTTTGTATAAATATCTTCTGCAATCCCTTACAGTCAGGGATGAGTGCCAAATATACTTGATTACTGAAAATAAAAAGGCATTTGTTATGATGACAGTAAACCAATTTAGTACTTGGCTTAGATTTGATGTCAGGCTGGGAATTGAAATCTGCTGGAGCAGCTGGTCAGTTTTGGTAGCTTTCTGACAAATGCACACATGCTAATGCATTAAACATATGATAAAGTTTACCTGTCGGTTAGAAATTAATCCACTTCTCAATCTTGCAGAAACACCATGATATCCTCATTATCTGTGTGGATATTCAGTGATTGCGTTACATTTTTCAAAAGAAAAATCTTTACTTATATACTATATATATATCTTATTTTGATTGAAACTGAAAAACCCTTGTTTTTTAAAGTGGAAGATGCATCTTTTCTCTATTAAGAAACAGAATTTTTACCAGTTTTCTCATTTACAAAAACATCCATCCTTTATTATTGAGCTCCTTTACAACATTTTAATATAAATAGCAATAATAAAATAGACTTCCCGTAACTCAAGAATATTAGCTGCAAAAAACACACGAGCTGGGTTTCAGAGTTATTTGCCTTTCTAACTGATGTTAAGAAAAGTAAATCCTCTGTAGAACGTTTCCAGACTGACTGTCTATATCACTGGTGCTCAACCTTCTGGCCTACAGGCCATATGAGTGGTGCAGGGCCAGGTCATAGACCAGATCCCATGGATTCAGTCAATCTGTGGGTATGAGATTGGCACATGGAGTCATTTCCCCCATGTGACCTTGTGTGCTGGCCCAGCCCTGTATGGACCCATGTTATCCAGTCCTTGGGGCTCTCCTGGGGTCCAGAAATTTGATAGTGGGGGACCAATGGCAGCATTAATTGCCATGGCTCTGGAGACTGCAGCACTTAACACTACCACCACTCCCAAAATGCCAAATTTCTGGACTCATAGGGAGCTGCAGGATACAGCTGAATGACGCAACTTGATGGGCCAGAAGCTGACTGCCACTGGTCTGTGTTATAACATATAACGTTATGACCTGTATTCTAGGAGACCAAAGACGAATACATGCACTCTTATAGAAATCTCAGTCCTCTGCTACTTAGCTGATCACTTACCTATTGGTGGCCTGTCATTAGTTGAATAATGAGTTGTATCCCTTTAACAAGTTTTTTTAAAGGAAATTTCAGTTGTGTCTGTTCTGAACAAGATAACAGATTTCTAGCTAGCAAATGAATGCGTCTCTATAGCTAATTAGACAAAACGCCTCAGAAAATGTGTTAGAAAGGAGCCAGCAAATGAAAAACATGTTGTCGTTGTCATAGTTTTTAGCTCAGTTGTGTTAAGAAAAAAATTCAGTGCAACTGAAATGAAAAATATAGTACTTTTTCATAACTTTTGGAGAAATGTGTGAAATTAATTCCTTCATTTGGCCAGCATCCACTCTTGCATTTCAAAACAATATCCAATTAATAGCAATAGCAGATTAATCAGAAGTATATAATTTTTAATTGCTGAACTGGGGAGACTCTCTGAAAACAAAGGAATATATGTCAGCCTTTTTTCCTTTACTGGTTTCTACATTTGAAATTTTCAGGTTGTCCCAGAAGATCACAAAGAACATTGTGTATTTTCTACCACGTAATGCTGACATTGACCAGGTAAGTTATTGTTTAAAAGGTGGCTTTAAATCATTTAAAAAAAAAAAACTTTGCTGCTGTAAATTGCATTTTTAATCTAATTCAAATGAAAATCTGTTTATATTTTAGGCCCGTACTTACTTGTACTTTTGCATTGTATCTTGCAAGATATCTTGCAACTTTGATGAATAACTCCTATGAGTCTGATGTGTTGTTCCCTGCTCTGTGCTGTAGAAGAAATGATTCGTTCTTATATCAGCTTGTCCAAGCCTCTGTATGCTTCTGGTAGAATATTAGATTGATACATCTTGGTATAAATAAAATCAGTTTTCTTGCATGTCTTGAGTTATATTGAGTTGTTTAACAGTAAAGGTTCATTCAGGTTGTCAGTACCTGAAGACAGCTGCAGGACATAATATATGGAATATCATTTTAAATAGTAGCTCAGATTAATTTACAAAGATATGTTTTGAGTTAAAAATATCTCTGTGCTGGAAGAAGCAGTTTTTTGTGTACTATTGTTTGTTTATATATGGTCAGCTGACATGAAAAAGTGACTAGGTGAACTAGTGGTATCAAGGATTATAAGTACAGCATTGTTTTGTCAGTATACATTAATTTTAGGGATTTACACCATTAAAACATCTTGTATAATGCTAAAACTCACTGTCTTCAAGCCTAAAAAAGTGCTGCAGAGTTTGTCAGTTATGGTCAGTGTGAAATAATCTTCTGTGGGTTGAGAATATATTTTTTTTAATAGGCAAAAGTGGTCATACTTCACTTTTCTCCCAAGTTCTGTGCTTTATTTTCTCCTGATTTACCTTGTATGTTAATTTGAGCAGTATTTATAGCTTTCTTTTATGACCAGAATGAACCATCATAATATAGCATCATCATATAGCCTGATACCTTGCATAACATTAACTATAGGATTTCCTGCTTCATATTCTCATTAGCTGTACTTGAACTGAAACATATCTTTGGGTGTGTTTTCTAAATCTTAATTTAAAAATGCTCAGTGATGAAGAATCCACTATAAATTTTAGCAGTATTTTCCTAATGTTTAATTACCCTCACCATTAAAAATCATGCCCTATTTCTAGTCTGGATTTATCTAGTTTCAGTTTCCAGCCATTGAACTTAAACATTTGTCTGCTGGGCTGAAGAGGCCTCTTACCAAATTTCTATTTCCCACATAGGTACCTTGCATTAGAACAATAAGAGGACTTTGGCCCCCAACAGACATTCATTTGAAAGAGCAATGATCCCAGCAATCTTTCTTCCTACCGTGCCACACGTACATGGCAGGAGGCGTGACTGTGGGATCAGATCCCAGGTGTGCCATATTGCCAGTGCAGAAGGAGCCTGGGATCACAATTGTCAGCTGGCTGTGGGGAAACCACAGGGGCAGTTTAAGCCCCCATGTGGTCCCCAAAGCTGCCCAAAGGTTAGCTGATTGTCAGCAGGATTGGAAGCGTCCCCGAGTTCGAGAGTTGTGGCCATCCCGATCTGCTGGCAGGGACTGCCCTGAGATTCGAGCCCCCAGGGCAGTCTCTGCCAGTCAACAACCAGTTGATCAGAACTTGCTCAGGGCCCTGTCACGGTTCCTGCCATATGTTCAATTTAAAGTGCAATGGAAACTATCCACAAAACTATCAAACGTTTTTGTAATACCTTTTTGGCTGGTTTCCTCTTTAATTGCATTGATAATCTCCTGAATGTGTCTCTGGTTTATGCTTTAAGATGCAATAAACTGATTAATTGTTTTAAGTGTAATATCTGCCTGGGACATTAGTCACTTAAGGCTAAATCTTATTTCACCTTTATATTCCTAAGTATTTATTAGAAACTTAAAGTACTATTTTTGTACTAATGCACAGTTGGTATTCAGTTTTCACCTGCAGCATAGATATAAGTGACCTGCTAAAAGTAAAATAGCACAGTAGTCTAGTGCAGGGCTGGCATAGAATCATGGAAAGTAAGGGTTGAAAGGGACCTAAGGAGGTCATCTAATCCATCCCCCTGCTCAAAGCAGGACCATCCCCAACTAGATCATCCCAGCCAAAGCTTTGTGTAGCCAGGTTTTGAAAACCTCCAAGGATGGAGAGTCCACAACTTCTCTGGGTAACCTGTTCCAGTGTTTTACTAGCATCCTAGTGAGAAAATTCTTCCCAATATCTAACCTAAACTTCCCTTGCTGCAACTTTAGAGCATTGCTCCTTGTGTCATTTGCCACCACTGAGAACAGTCTAGCTCCCTCCTCTTTCGAACCTCCCTTCAGGTTATTGAAGGCTGCTGTTAAACCCCCCTTCACTCTTCTCTTCTCTAAACTAAATAAACCTGGTTCCCTCAGTCTCTCATAAGTCATGTCCCTTAGCCCCCTCACTATTTTTGTTGCCCTCCTCTGGACTCTCCAATTTGTCCACATCCTTTCTGTAGTGGGGGACCCAAAACTGAACACAGTACTCCAGATGTGTCCTCACCGGTGTTGAATAGAGGGGAATAATCACTTCGTTTGACTTACTGGCAACATACGTACCAATGCAGCCCAGTATGCCATTAGCCTTCTTGGCAACGAGGGCATGCTGTTGGCACATATTCAGCTTAGTGTCCACTGTAACCTCCAGGTACTTTTCTGCAGAGCAGCTGCCTAGCCAGTCAGCCCCCAGCCTGTACCAGTGAATGGGATTGTTCTGTCCTAAATGCAAGAAAGACTTTGCACTTGTCCTTGTTGAACCTCATGAGATTTCTTTTGGCCCAATCCTCCAATTTGTCTAGGTCACTCTAAATCCCAGCCCTACTGTCCAGCATATCTACTACTTCCCCCCCCCCTT